TCTGCTCAGGGGCGTTCACTGTTCGATCCAGTTGGACTAAGCTGATAGAGTCAACTTTGAGGTATAAAATGGCTGGGCTTTCCAGCTCCCGTGTGTGCAAAAAGAGCGCTGCAACTGGTCCCCCACAGTCCCGATGGATCACGAGTGGGTATGAGTGTTGCAGGAATGCGAGTGTGAATTAGGCCTCTAGATATTGCTGCTGCTGATTGCCAAACTTGTATGCTTTATATCATAGAATAAATGTTACATGCATAGTGTTTAAAACCAGATCTGGCAGTCAGTCTGTCTTTGATAAGGGCTTTCCTTGGAAACCTGATAGTCTCCTCTTTACTGAATCAAAGACGGCTTTAGTATGCTTACAAAGACTACTAGAATAAGCCGGAAAAGAAAAAGCAATGTGGTGCCATTTTATGGTGCTCCCAAAGCGCTTGGTTGAGACGGGGCCCTGCCTGAAGGTGGAGGCAGGAAGGTTGCAATGCAGGGAGCCTCCTTTGCCGCCCCAGAATCCCGTCATGCCGCACCAGGCCGCCCCTCGCTGTTCCGGCGGTGAAGTGCTTGACTAAACTGAGTCTTGGAGGACTGGCAGGCAAGCTCATGAAATCTCCACTGCAGCAGGAGGGGAAATTTCCCAGGAAACCCTGTTCTGAGAACGTTTGAGAAGTGGTACCTTTCCTCACCCGCCTAGAGGCTTTGTGGAATTTTCTTCAAATTCTCCACATCCTTTGTGTATGTGTGTGTGTGATCTGACAGCCATTTCTCCCCCACAAGCCTCAGGAGTGATACCCCATCCAGGGCTGCTGCTGGAGAAGAAAGGACAACTGCCGGGCTGCGCACATGATTGCCGTGCTCTGACTTGTGGCAAGAGCAAAGCAAACATGGCAACTGCCATGCAGGGATAGGAGAACACAGAGGTGGGATCCATGGGGCTCCACCCTCAGGGAGGGGGCAGGATGCCGGGCATCTGGCTCCCCCTCACTGGGCCAAGGACTGGGCCTTGCATCTGCTCCCCCTCCCCTCCTGCAAACCGTCCTGCCCCTTCCAAAGCGGCCGGTGCCCACACTGCACCTGAGAAACTACACAAGGCAACCTTGCGGCTTCAGAGTCCTGCCTCCCACTGCTGCTCCCCCTCCTTTCCGATCGGGAATCTCCCTGAGCAGACGAATGAGCGAGAGATGGGCCCCTCGCGCCTCCATTATGGGGTTGGCGCCAGAGCTTGTCTTTCCTTCCGCAAACGGGGCCACAAGCCCCCCTCCCTTGCAAGAGAGTGCGAATGGCACGGCACTGACTAAAAAACGAGGACATCTGAGGACTCCCAAACCTGTTGCGTGAAGGAAGGGCCGTCCTTGGTGGGGCAGCTCCTCCCCTCCACCCCCATTTCGGTCAGGCCGGCCAGTCCAGCAGGGATGGAGGGGGGCACCTCAGCCATGTGCAGGAGGGCACCAGGGGCCCCACGTTTGCAGGCGGGGTGGGTTGTCGAAGGAGGGAATGCTGCGTGTGTGGCGCCCGTGTGGCAGGATCCCAAGCGGATCAGCCAGCCAGGTCAGCACCAGACATCATCTCAGATGCGTTTCTGCCCTGCAGGGCATTGCACAGGGGCCTCGCCCCCCTTGGACCCCACTCATCCTGGCACTACTGCACTCTGCACTGGGTCCTCAACAGCTGTTCAACGTAGCATCGCCATGGAATGATCTTCCAGAAATGTCTCACTCCACAGACTGGACCAGTGACGGCAAACCTTTTAGACTGAGCGTAAAAACCCACTTATTAATTGCAAAGTGCCAACACTGCGATGAAACCTAAATACCTGAGGTTTTCGTTTATAAAAATCAGCTCACAGCCAGTCCAAGCAAATATGTATGGATAGCTGTTTATGTATCCTTGGCAGTGCACTGACCTGCCATGCGAAAGCTGAGACGAGCAACGGCTAAGGAGTCGCGGCTCGTGACATCATCGCCTGGCGCCACTACTCCTTTCCGAGCATGCGCATGGGCCTTACGTGTGCTGATATCCGATGCTCGGCTGCTGGGGCGATGCTGGGGCGACGTGGCTCGCGTGCCGACAGAGGGCTCTGCGTACCCACTGCAGCACGCGTGCCATTGCTTGGCCACCACTGGACTAGACGGCCAAGAGAGCAGGGGACTCTTCCGAACGAGGCCGTGCGGATGCCCGAGTGCCTCTGCTCCCATGGCCAAAGGAGGGGCCAGAGGCTCAGCGGCGGGGGCTGAAAGGTGCCCCACAGCTTGAGGCTCATGCTACCCCAGCACAACAGGAGCACCCTGTTCTCCCTGCCGAGACTGAGTGCCCAGGCCTGAGTGCCCAGGTGCCCCTTGGGAGGTCGGGACCCACATCACACAGGGAGGGGCAGCCCTGGGGCTGCCTGTGCAGAGAACGCCTCTTGCGCGTTCAAGAAGACTTCCTCAAGTGGCGTTTGGCCTGGAGGAACATCTAGAGAAGCGGTCCAGCCGCCCCTTGTCCAGGGGCCTCTGTGTGAGTTCTCTGATGAGAAGTCAGGTTTGTCTTCCGATTGAAGCTCTTTGCACACTTCAAACACTGATATGGCTTCTCCCCTGTGTGAATTCTTTGATGCCGAGTGAGGTGCGTCTTCCAATTGAAGCTCTTTGCACACTCCAAACAATGATATGGCTTCTCCCCTGTATGCATTCTTTGATGAGAAGTGAGATCTGTCTTCCGACTGAAGCTCTTTGAACACTTCAAACAACGATATGGCTTCTCCCCAGTGTGAGTTCTTTGATGCCGAGTGAGGTTTGTCTTCCGATTGAAGCTCTTTGCACACTTCAAACACTGATATGGCTTCTCCCCTGTGTGAATTCTTTGATGCCGAGTGAGGTGTGTCTTCTGACTGAAGCTCTTTGCACACTCCAAACAATGATATGGCTTCTCCCCTATGTGAATTCTTTGATGGTAAATCATCTTTGCCTTCTCAGTAAAGTTCTTTCCACACGTCATACATTTATACGATTTATTCTGTGTTTGAAGTTTGCTGTGTGCTTTATTGTTTGATTCAGAGCCGTATGTTCTCTTGTGCACATGGTCTGCGTTCTTTTCTTGTCCAGTGTGTACCTCTTCTTGGATTGTGTTATGGCCGCCATTGCCCTGCAAAGCAAGGCAATCATTCCTTCCATTGTGATTACCTTCAGTCTTCCTTCTCTGCTGGTCACTAGTTTTCCATCTGTCTCTTTCCAGTGACATCCCATGTAGTTCTCTCTTATTCTCCTCTTCCCACCTGTCACCTCCTGGAACGAGAGCAATAATTTGGAAGAAGCCCGTGTTACCAGCAGAAGTTCAAATAGCAGAGCACACTCAGTGCTGATTGCAATGAAGGGAAGAACCGGAAGGACTTTGATGGGATGCTGCTCTTAGAATGGGCTGAACTGCCTTAACGGACTCTCTGTGTTGCACAACAAATATTGCTGGGACTGTGTAGACCCAGGTTCAGCTTGGCAGGCAAACACTCGTGGGATCACAGAGGCCTCTGCCATCTCTGCAAGCAGGAATGTTCCCAAGCTGACTCCATGGCCGGCTCACCTGTCAGAACAGAAATTTCTTCCTTACATGAAACCTGATGCCCTGAGTATCCGCACTTCACTTAAGGAGCAGTTTGCCAGCTTTTACTTTTATTGTGTGTTTATTGTGTGTTTTTATTGGTTTAATAACTTATGATACTGTGAGGTTTTATTGTAGGGTTTTTCTATTTGATTGTTATGATTTTAGCTGCACTTTCGGATTCTGTGATGGGTTAACCTTGCGTTCCTATTTGTGGCGGTTCCCAGGGTTTCCTGCTGACTTGGGGACCGGATGCAGATCGCTGTTCTGATTTTCTTGCCGCTCCTGAGGGTGAGCTCCCATGTGCACCTTTGTTGAGGGGAAGGCAGGGTGATAAGTGTTTTGCTTTCTTGCATGCCATCACACAATCCCAGGCTTATAGCAGTCCCATGAGCGAGAGTCCTGTGGTTCACAGCCATAGGCAGGCCTGGTAAATTCCAGGATTTAATAATAAAACTTGATTCACTTGTTTGTTTTTAAACACTGTATTTTGAGGGCTAGGCCCTAAAATAGAAAATAAAAAATCTAGGACATGGGCTACAAACGGTAATTTTGTCTTCTTTATCAGGCTGGCAGTTGCAACCAAGTATTATCCCTTAGCCGAAAAACAGGAAGCCTTACCGAGAGAGGCCACAATCCTGCGATTCTCCTCCATGACCTGGCTGTGCAGGGCTCTCTGGCCAGCATCCAGCAAGGCCCACTCCTCCTCCGTGAAGCACACGGTGACCTCCTCAAAGGTCACCAGAGCCTGGATGAAAAAAGGAAAGTTTTCCTTATCAAGGTCACATGCTACGGTGGCTGGGCATTATTCTGCAGGTCTGAAACTCGCTTGCTCAGGAAGCAGCAGCCAAAAGGATCCTTCTCCCCTCTCCTCCTTGCGTGCCTCCCAAGGGGCATCTGGGCAGCCGCTGTGAGATAAGCAGAGCGAATAGATGGACTCAGCTCACCAAAGAAGTTCGCCTGGTGCCTTCTTTCTGTTCCTTGCAGCAACTGGCAAACAACTTTTTAATTTCCCAATTTTTTTTGTACAGGTTATTTTAACTATTTCAACGGTGTTAATGATACCTTAGTGCTACTGTGCCATTTTATTGTGTGTTTTTATTGGTTTAATAATTTATGATACTATGAGGTTTTATTGTAGGGCTTTTTCTGTCGGTTGTTATGATTGTACTGTAATATTTGTTAATATTATTGTTTTATTGTGTATATTGGCACTATTGTTTAATTATATTTTGTAAAAAATAAAGAGAGCCATTGTGGCTTTCGGAAGGACAGAAATCTAATAAATTAAGAAAGAAAGAAAGAAAGAAAGAAAGAAAGAAAGAAAGAAAGAAAGAAAGAAAGAATATGCCCTCTAGAAGGGGAGCAGAGAATTGGACGTTGTGGCTGGTTGCTGCCTCTCTCCTAAGAGAAACTTTCCCTTACCTGATCCAGTTTCACTCTTTCCTGAAGACAAAGAGATGGATGAGTATCCATTTCTGCCAACATGCCTGCTCCTAGGAAAGACAAAAGAGATGGGAAGCTTGTAGGAGACTGAGTTAAAATCCTAAACTTGTGGGAAGGAACCCCTTGAAGTCAAGACACAGAAACATAGAAACACAGAAACAGAGCGAGTCAGATGGATTCTCCCGGGCCGTCTAGTCTGACCCCCGGCGTCAGCAATGGATGTCTGGGTGCACATGAGTATTACAGGATTTGCACTTTTAGAATTCGGGGTGGTAGAAAATGCATAGTTATCCATTTGGGCTCACAGACAAAAGTGAAATGGTCGTTGGGGTGTATGCAGTCCCCACAGGTTCAAAATTTGATATAGTCTCGAATAGCGGAAAAGCAGGGACCAGATTCTGCCCCACAAAAGCCACACATGCACACTGACCTGGTGATTGGAAAGGCCACCACCGTAGTAATCCTTACCCGGAAAGGAAAGGCACCCGTCTCGCTCCCGCTTGATCTCAGTTTGGGGTGGACGCAGTTCGGTGCCTGAGACAGCTCTCTCTGCTGCAGGGAAATCAGGCCCTGCTTCTACAAACAGATTCTTCACCTGGAACAGCAGCATAAATCCAAGACATGGCACGAGGAGAAGAATTAGAAAAGGTGAGATGCAAAAATATTGGAAATGAGATAGGGGGATTTCTCCTTGGATTCCCAGAGAGTTTGGGCGTATCTTCTCTCGCATCCTTGAGCACGTGACCAATATTCTCACCTGCTCCTCCTCCAATTTGTTCTCCACTGACTGGCTCAGGAGGAAGCCCTCCGCCAGGGCCACCGCCTGGGAACTGCTCTCTGCTCCACACTCCCTCACCCAGTTCGCCATCTCCGCTGGCAGGATGGCCAGGAACTGCTCCAGGACCACCAGGTCCAGGATTTGGGCTTTGGTTTGTTGCTCTGGCCTCAGCCACTCCCGGGAAAGTCGGTGGAGTTGGTTGCAAGCCTCTCGGGGCCCCTCAGCAGCCTGGTAGCGGAGCTGCTTGAAAAGCTGGCTCGGTATGTCTGAGATGGCCGCATCTTCTAGGAAGACCTTCTGCTCCATCCTTCCCCGGAAGCTTCCTTTGCTCCTGGTCTCCGTGGCAGCAGGACCTTCTTCTCCTGCACAGCTACCTGGGTTTGGGTTTGTCAGCACTGATCTATGTGCCAAGGGAAGCTCCAAGGGGGGCCAGAAACACTCTTCTCGCTTGATATGTTGGCCAATAGGACCGTACGACATGTTGCAGCAAAGGGTCTGTGAAGGAAGGACGCGGACCTGTTACGGAATTAGATACTGTCAGAACAAGGTGAAAGGAGCAGGACTCCCGCGAGTGAACAAGTCTTTTTCGAGGAGCAGGTGTATGTCAGGACTCACAGGGGACCTAGAGATTTGGGGAGGATCCTTCCCGCACCAAACTCCTTCCACTGCTTGAGGGCCTGAAGATGTCCCATCTTCTCCGCTCAACCTACACACTTCCATTCATGTCCCGACTAGTCCTCTCTGAATCATCCCTTGAAGCCCTTTCCACCCTTCATCCAACACTCTCATGGCAGAAAGTGAAGAGGAACTAAAGAGCCTCTTGATGCGGGTAAAGGAGAAAAGCACAAAAGTTGGCTTGAAACTCAAAATTAAGAAAACTAAGATCATGGCATCCGATCCTCTCACTTCCTGGCAAATAGATGGGGAAGAAATGGAGGTAGTGACAGAGTTTATTTTCTTGGGCGCCAAGATCACCGCAGACGGAGACTGCAGCCAAGAAATTAAAAGACGCTTACACCTGGGGAGGAAAGCTATGGCAAATCTAGACACCATACTAAAAAGCAGAGGCATCACCCTGTCAACAAAAGTGCGTCTAGTCAAGGCTATGGTTTTCCCAGTTGCAATGTATGGCAGTGAATGTTGGACCATAAGGAAGGCTGAGCGCCAAAGAGTTGAGGCCTTTGAATTGTGGTGCTGGAGGAGACTCCTGCGAGTCCCTTGGACAGCAAGAAGGAGCGCTTCGTCCATATATGCCCAGCCGCCCCTTGAGATCAGCGGGAGAGGCCCTTCTCCGGGAACCCTCCGGGAAGGAAATTAGGAGGGTGGCTACTCGGAGGAGGGCTTTCTCTGCGGTGGCGCCCAACTTATGGAACACGCTCCCCAGAGAGGTCCGCCTGGCGCCGTCGTTATTTGCTTTTCGGCGCCAGGCGAAAACCTTTTTATTTAAGCGGTATTTTAATTGTTAGTATTAACTGATTTTATCTGGCCAGGGCGGCTTATTTTATATTGTATTTTT